TTTTTCATAATAAACTTTGTTAATTTAACTATTTTTTTAGGAAAATATTATTGTATTTAATGAGTTATTAGTAACATCCTATTAGTTATTCTTTATACTCACCTTAAAAAAAAACAGATATAAAAATAAGAGATAAAATGAAATTAATGACCCCGAAAAAATAACAAAAATACCTTTACCTAAAAATTTTCTTTTCTATTTATATCTATTTTAAAAAATAAAATGACCCCAAGAGATAACTAACAGGACGTAAATTGACAACAAACTTTTGAAAATCACTTGAAAACTAAAAGAATCGGTTTTCAAGGCTTGTTTTTACAATTTTAATCGAGGACTTCGGTCGAGACTGAATCTGAGACACTCGAGGTGGTGAGGGATTGGATACAAGCCACTCCAAAGTCCAAAGTTGAGGGCGGATTAGAGTCTCGGGTGCGGGGAAACTCGGGCTCCAACGGACCCGATACGAAGAATGGGATTGAAGGCTCGAAGAAATAGAGATATCTTCGGTACGTCTTGAACCAAGAATGGGATCGAAGGCTAAGACCAGGACGCTCGGAGTTGATCTAGACTAGGTTGATGTCCTGAAATAAAAACGCTGTGATAGAGGATTGAGCCGGGGCTAGGTGACAGATAGCGCCGTCTCCTATTGCTTTGGAATTGTTTCCTGGTACATTTATCCAATCTGTTTTCAAGAAACAGATTAGCCACTTTAGAGTCGATCACCAAGCCCTGTATAAGAGATGATTATATTTCTTCAAGACTGAATTAAGTTATACGTATTCATCATCCATCGCCAGCGGCCTGGAAAGCATCAGATCAAACCTTTCCATTAACATAAAAGCTAGAGGTTGTGGTAAATTATTGTCCCCTTGCATTTATTGCATTCTGAATTATATTAGTAATTCATTATGTATTGTTTTTTTTTTAATTTTTTTAATTTATTATTCATTTATACTCATTACACTATAAATTACAATGATTAAAATGATTTATAGATTTAAGTTCATTTATACTCATTACACTATAAATTATAATAATTAAAATGATTTATAGATTTAACAGGGTAATTAATGTGATATTTGTTTATAGGTATGGTAGAGTGTTTTTTTTCTTTTTTTTTTAATTAAACTTGACATGAGGTTTCAAGACTAGCCTACTTAGTTATGTTTAATGATATTGTTAAAAAACTTTTCACAATCTTAATAATTTTTTTACATTTTAAAAAGTTGCTTTGATCATGATAGAACATGGGGGTAAAAACTAATAAAAAAATATTTAATTGTTTTAATTAGAGATAGATCACAATAAAAAGTACATAGATTTCATTTCACAAAGAAAGAAAGAAAAAACTTCCCTTTCTTTTTACCTTTCAACCAAAAATAAATGATATTTTGCGTTGATACATGTTATACGTACGTGCTAACATGACTGTAAACCTAGCTAACCAGCCAAGACGGGGGCTCGATAGGTGATGAAAGTGTTGCGCTAGCTAGCTGTGAAAGACGTCCAAGTACTGCAGTGCTGCACACTCCTTTACCTTCGCAATGAAGGAGCCTGCAGCACTTACAGAAGCATTAAATAAATGCATGCCCGTTAATGAAGCCAGGCTCATAAGTGGCTGTGTATATGCATGATTTTGCAAGGAGGTCCATTACAATATCTTTAATTAGCTAGGTAAGCTCTAGTTAATAGGGACGGCACTGATCAGTCTACTAGTTGGATTGGCCCAGAGAGTCAGAGACCAAGTTACCCAGAACAGTCTACAAAAAAAACCAGTAGTGGGTAAAGGCTGTTTGTAATAGAATTGGATGATCATTGACAGGTTCCATCGAAAAACTTCACTTGGTTTTGTCTGCTTCATGGAAATTACAAGCCCCGTCTTCAAAGCCTCACTTTCATGGGCAATCGACCATCAGTTTCGGTTGGATTTTTCAAGGTACAATTCAGATTGACTAAGGTAGTATTAAGCTCTATTCTGCTAAAATCAAACAAAAATCAGTGAATCCGAGATGGCGTATCATTCCTTTTGTAGGCACTTGAAAAGGAAGAATAGGATAAAGCGTGGCAGAACTTGTAAAACCAAATAAATGATTCAACCATCTCAGGTGTATCATGGAAGCCAATGAGTTAACCCAGTAATTCATTAACCAGGTCCCTAGGCTGAGGTGAGTTTGGAATTAAATTGAGTAAGAATCAAGTTGGTGTATTCTAGTCAATTTAAATATTAATTTTAAATTGAGAGTATCAAAGATTAATTGCTGCTAATACATGAATATATCTGTGCGCGTATCAAAGATTAATTGCTGCTAATACATTTATCATATTAACAACATTTAAATATTTTTTTTATATAAAAAAAATATTTGATCAAACTTGTAGTGTAATTAAAGCAATAATTTAGTACTAAAACAAAAGAGGGTTTTATTGTTCATAAAAACAATAAAACTTCATTTTGTTTCTTGCATCCCATTCATTGAATTTTTTTTAATTGCAATTTTATCCTCTCAAATTATAGTAGCATGTTTTATATGTTGATATTTATTTCAATTTGTATTTTCTTATATATTCGAAGGGTATTTCAAGCATATTTTTGTTACGGGTTAAATACCAATTTTGCAAAATAAATCTTTATTTGTAGCTAATTATAAAAATTAAAATAATAATAATATAATTTAACAAAACAAATCTCATTTGGATATTGGCATGGAAAACTTATATATTCTCTCTATAGTTTTTAATTAATCTATTGTTCAGTCATGTTATTTTAGCATTTTAAATTTTTATCTCAAACTTAATTTGTTTTCCATTTTAATTTCTGGATGTCAAGAGATGAGACAAAAAAACCTTCAAAAAATATTAAAAAAAGAGAAAGTGATTGGGTGTGAATATTCTAGTCATCAAAAAAGATAATCTTGGTTTCAATTGATTTGGGTTTTTAGACAACTTCGATGAAGATGATGTTACTCTCTAGTAATAAAAAAGGTAGATTGGGATTGTTTATGTATTTTTATTTGTTTAATTTTTATTTTCTAAAGAGATTAAAAGTTATTTGGAGATTAAAAATAGATTTGCAAAGGTTTTTCAGATGATAAAGATTAAAAATAGATTTGCAAAGGTTTTTTAGATGAAAAAGATTGAAAATGAGATTTTAAAGTTTAAAAACTCAAATTTTAAATTTTCAATCATTAAAGATAACTATAAATTGATGTAGATTATAAAGCATTATATATTTCACGGAACAACCTCTCATCCATTTACAAAAAAATAATTGGAGTAAAATAACTTTATTTAGAATCTAAAAAATAAAAGATAAAACTGCATGAATCTAGGTTATATGGTCCTAGCCAAGTAAATATGTCTAATATTTTTTAATTTTTAATTAATTTTTTATTTAAATTTTGATTAATACCTTATCACTTTTTTTTATTGTTTGGTTAAATTTATCAAAATAATAATTTAATTTTTAATTTTTAATTTTTAATTTTACTTTTATAATGCTTGAAAGAGATTATTGTAAATATTTTTATTTTTTTTGTTTATATTTTATATAAATAAATTATATTTATGTGACATATTTATATTTACTATTGGGTTCATTTAGAATTAAATTCTATAATGTTTTAGAATTTTTTCTATAAAATTATCTCAATCTTCTGACCCGGGTTTGATAAATTAACCTGAGTTGACTCGAGTTATTTATTTTATTATTTTATTATTTTTTAATTTAATTTTTTAAAAATAGGTTAATCAGAAATTGAGATTTATAATCTTTTTATTTGCTTTATATATAGTTATTTCGGTCTTATAACCCAAGTAAGGTTAAGCCATTTGACTTAAGTTTTTTTTTTTGTTTTTTTAGTTGGATTTTTTTAACTTTATCTTTCAATGTTTGAGTTGATTAGAAATTATGCTTCATGATTTGTTTCGGTTTGCATTTTATGAGATTATCTTAATCTCATAACCCGGTTTAAGAGTTTGGTTGATTGACTCGATTGGTTTTTTATGTTTCTTTTTTAATTGTTTCTTTTTAATTTTATATTTCAGCTTTGAATTGATTGAGAAATGAGTTTTATAAAAAAAAAAAAAATTCTATAGAGTTATCTCAGTTTATTGAGAAATGAGTTTTATAAAAAAAAAATTATTTTTTTCTATAGAGTTATCTCAGTCTTATGAAATATATTTAATAGATTAACTCGAGTTGATTCGACTCATCTTTTTAGTTGAATTTTGTTTAAACTTTCATCTTTTAGATTGAGAATTAAGTTAAATATATATTTTTTTTGTTTTCTTTTTATATGGTTATCATAAGTAGCATATTTGACATGTTAATCCAGGTTGATCCAAGTTGAACTAATATGTTGTCTTGTTATTTTTTTATATATAAATATCATCTTGATGTTTTTAAAGTTAAATTATATTCTTATAGATGATATGAATTGTCTTTAAATTTATCAAGTCGATCAAGTTATATAAAATTAATTTTTTTATAGTTTAATTTTATTTAAAAAATAAAACTCATTAACATTGAATAAATATTTTTTACATCAGAATGTTTTTTATTTAACCCGCAGCTTACACGTAAAATGATCTAGTTTTATAACTCTACCTTTAATTCCAAAATTTCAATACGTTACGGGAGAATCACAATCTAAATGATAAGTAATGCAACTAATTTATAAATTATTTGTATTAGTCTAGCTATTTTTAAAAATATCTCCTTCATGATCTCTACATGTCTCAATCCATGGAGAAAGCGAAGGGAAAAAATGAAGCTGGGAAAATCAAAAGTGGGTCACCAGTAACCACATTTTGTCATGGCCCTTGACCTTTAAGAGTCCAAGTACTATTCGTCAAGTTCACCTTCTGCCTTGCTTTCTCAATCGAATCAAAATCATACAGAGAAGCATCCCATTCTCAAGATATGGAAATAACAGCAAGATCGACAGAAATAAACTTCAAGATTGAATCAATTCTATCTTTGTATCTAAGGACATGACAAGAAAATCAAATTCCTCTTCTTTTTATTCTTTTACTATAGCAAATAGAATCTAGCAAGATACATGACTATTCCTCCCTGACTTTTCCAACTATGTCACTGTTATTGTTGATCTAGCAAGCAAGACATGTTCTGTCATCTTTTACGTACAATCCTCATTGCTTGATTTGAAACTAGGCGTACGCAATTTTGTTTACTCTAACTAAACACACACCATTTGTCATTTTGCCCATTTGCAAAACTCCGCCGAGGCTCCAGAAAGACGGCCGCGCATCTATAGAGTAAAGTCTAGCAAGATAGATAACTATCCCCCCGGACTCTTCCGGCTTCGTCTGAAGTCAGAAACTAATTGTTTGACAAAAGCACTTCATTGACCAACTTCTCCAAACTAATGGATGATGAACCATCTGGTCCAGCTGCCTCTTCAGCTAATTTTTTCCAGTCCATGGCCTTTTCCCTCATCTTCACACCCTTCTCTCCTTCCATTACCTCTCTTACAAGCTTCTCCACTTCTTCCCTCTTTACAACATCATCAATCTTCATGCCACTTCCCCATTCCTTGCAAGTATATCTACAATTCATTGGTTGGTCTGCAAAGAATGGCCAACAAATCATTGGGACTCCAGCAGCTAAGCTCTCAATAGTTGAATTCCAACCACTATGAGTTAAAAAAACCCCTACTGATGGATGATTTAGTACTTCTTCTTGTTGACACCAACTGGCAATATAACATTGTTCTTGATTTTTTCCTGCAAATTCAGCTGCCAAAATTGCAGCATCACCGATAACCAAATCTGACCTTATTATCCAAAGGAATGGATGCTTGCTATTAGCCAGTCCCATTGCAAACTCAACTAGCTGTTCTGCTTTTATTACTATTAGACTGCCGAAATTCACATAAACCACCGATTTGGGCTCCTTAGTGTCTAGCCATTGGAGACAATCTCCATCCTCTTTCCTCAAACTGTAGCCAATAGACTTTAAACCATCTTCAGGAATTTGATTAAGAAGTAACTGGTAAGGGCCAATGGCGTAAACATGAGGAAATATGGATGACAGGCCATCCAAAACATCTGGCTCTAATGCATCAAATGTATGAACAATAATTGCAGAAGCCCTAACGGCACCCTCAACACTATCCATCAAGAATCTAAATGCATAGTTATCTGGATTCGTATTGCGAGCAAATGGAAAGTCCATTAGGCATGTGTCTTTCATACCTGGAATCCAGTCAATAGTTGTGTGAAGATAGCTTTCATCTGCTATAGAAAAAACACACGAAATTGTAGTTTAGAGCAAGCTCCCCAATTCAAAAACACATTTTCAGTTGCAAAGTAAGTACCTTTAAGTGGAGTTAACCCTTTGACCCTTAGAGTATTGAGTTGTTTATATGCCATAACGCCACAGGCAGACATGGTAAAAGACATGACCACAGGAACTCCAATTTCTTCAGCAGCTTTGATGGTGAATGACGACATGAAACCATCAGAAACAATACAAGTTACCGAAGGAGAGTTCGAATACAAGCTATTCTTTCTGAGTTTGGCAAGAAGATGTTGAAAGAAAGCCGGGAAATTTTTGGTAATGGAGTTGAAAAGAGAAGCTTCATCTTGGGTCATGGCTTCAGCATCTGAAGGAGGGAGCCCATCTGGAATGGTTTCAAAACGAAAATCAGGCAAACCATCTAGAGAACGAGGGCCTCTTGACCTCAGGAAAAGGTTGTGATTGAATTCTGTGTTGACGAAGGTTATGTAAAAACCTTTGTGATGAAGTAGTTTTGCCAATTTAAGCATTGCTTTTATGTGGCTTTGAAATGGAATTGGAATGACCACAGCATGAGGCCTACGATAAACTCCTATCCTGGATTCCATTGTGCTGGTAATATGGGTAAATCAAAATGCAACAGTAATGACGGAATGAAAGAAGAAGAGGAGAGATTTATAGAAATGTTGAAAGTTTTCAACCCTCTTTCACACACGCACATATATAAAGCACCCTATCTTCAAACTGGCCTTGTGATAACTTGCAATCGGGCCAAAACAAAATAAAATGAACTTCAAAAGTGGAGAGATATGATGATGAAATTATTTTTTCTTGATTTATAATTAGTTTGAAAAGAGTGAGAATTATTTAGAAACCCAATACATATTAAAATATGTCCTGAGCACAGTAAAATTACTTTTATACCTTTTAATTTGAAAAACATTATTAGTCTAGTTTATGTTTTTATTTTTTTTCACAAGAAAGATATTATTTCACCCTTAAAAGCAATAAAATATAAAATTGTTGATTAAGAGCTTCTTGACTTGGCATAAGTTTTTTAATAGAAAAAATATGTATTTACCTCTAAAGTTCAAAAATTATTGTGCTAAATAATAGTATTTTAAGGGTTTTAAATATTAATGTATATTGTAATTATATCTTTAACCTTAGTTAAAATAATAGACAAAATATAAGTTTAGCATTTGAAGGTAATTTTATATTTTCATATAGATATTTTGTGTGATTGTTGGGTAGTGAGGTATTTTGATTTTAAAAAAAAAATTAATATTTAAAGTTGTCGGAGCATGCTTGACATGACCTAACATGTGGGTGGCATCCGCGCCTTTCAAACGACATATGTGACACTACCCGATCAACGTAACTGGCCTTCCTTTATCTTTTTAGATGCATTTTCATGCTCTCTTTTTTTTTTTAGTGATATGTGGCAGCTGACGATAGTGAATTTTGCAGATAGTTTAATAGAAAAAATATGTATTTACCTCTGAAGTTCAAAAATTATTGTGCTGAATAGTAGTATTTTAAGGGTTTAAAATATTAATGTATATTTAACCTTAGTTAAAATAAGATATATTGTAATTATATCTTTAACCTTAGCTAAACTAATAGACAAAACATAAGTTTAGTATTTGAAGGTAATTTTATATTTTCACATAGATATTTTGTGTGATTGTTGGGTAATGAGGTATTTTGATTTTTTAAAAAAAAATTAATACTTAAAATTGTCGAAGCATGTTTGACATGACCCAACATGTGGGTGGCATCCGCGCTTTTCAAACGACATATGTGACACTACCCGATCAACGTAACTGGCCTTCCTTTGTCTTTTTAGATGCATTTTCATGTCTTTTTTTTTTTTTTGGAGTGATGTGTGGCAGCTGACGATGATGAATTTTGCAGATAGTTGATTGCTTTTTTCTTTTCTTTTTTTTTTCTTTTTTCCTCTCTTCTGACAGGTAATGCATAACAATATCCTTTTCATTTTTTACTTTTCAATTTCATTTCTTATTAAATGAATTTCTTATTTCGTTTCTTTTCTATTTATAGAAGTTTTTATTTTTTTCAATTTAGTCCTTCAATTGCAATTTCTCATGTGTTTGGTTTTTCATTTTAATCCTCTTTTTTTTTTATTTCTAATTTTTTTCTTGGTATTTTTATTGAAGTTTTTGGTTCTTTCAATTTCATCATTCAATCAAATTTTATGTTGTTTTATTTCTTTTTAGTTTGATCCTTATTTTTTTTATTTTTTTCTTTTATTAAAGGTATTTTTCAATTCAATTAAACTCTCAAATTGAAAATTTTTATCCATCTAATTATGTTTTTTCTCACCCTTATTTTTTTCAATACTTTTGTGTAATTAATTTTTTTTCCTGATTTTATCTCTTAACATTTAATTTTTTAAGAATTCAGCTTTGTACAATCTTATTGTTTTATATTAGTATTTTTTTAATATTAGTTTTGCGATTATCTTCAAGTTTTTTCTATTAATTTATCCCGATCTTATGATTTAAGTCATGATTTTTACATGCCTTTTGTAATATAAGTTTTTTTTAGTTGTTTTGTTTATATATTTTTTTAATGCATTATTCTAATTCATCTATAATTTTTTTATACAAATAAAGTTTATTTTTCAAAAATAAAAAATATTTATTTTTAAATTATATTGTTGATGTGTTCAGCCTTTCGTTATATTTTTTCTGGTGTGGGTTTATTCAGTCAATTTTATTTATATTTATCTTTTAAATCACAATGATAGTCAATTTTATTTGTATTTATCTTTTAAATCACAATGTTTTTAGAATATAGATATATCTTTTATTTATTTAAATAAATAATTTCATTAAACATAATCGGATACATGTCTCTTTTATGTTATTAAATATCTTGATCTTTCTTGCATAGGCTTTTCAATTTTAACTTTAAATTTTTTTTATATAAAAAAAAACATGTTGAAGTATCATGCATACTAAGTATATGTTTGAAAAAAAATTATAACTCGTGACAAAGCACGAGTTAAAAGGCTAGCTAATAGAAACTAAAGCTAGTGGATAAAATATTGTAACCATTTTTATTGTTTATCCTCTCACAATTCATAATTGATTGTAATAGTATATTTTTTAAAAATTTTCATTTTGGTCCTAAAACATTTTCTTTCTACAATTGAGCCCTTTTGAACACAAATCAACACCCAATTGTATTTTTTTTGGAAGGGAGGGTTGAATTGAAAGAAAGAAGACTAGAGTGAAAAACATAAATAACATAGATGATGGATTTAAAATATGTTTTGAAAGTTTTTTTTTCGTTTCTTGTCTTTTTTAGGTATTAGGTGATTAGTGCCTATAATTTTTTAAAAATACATTTTGGTATGAAAATTTTTTTTTGTTTTTAGTTTTTTTTTTGGGTGGAGGAGAAAGAGTGAGTCATCAAATTCTGGTTTAGAGAGAGAAAATTATCATTGAGAAAGATTTCGACCACTAAAACAATTGATTTTTATATCAAAAGGTTTCAAATGATATTAGTTATTTTTTTGTACCTTGAAAACATACGTGAGACCAAGAAGATTTTTGAGTTTGAGAAGGTTTTTAATTTTGAGTTTTGAGGTAATTTTTTTTAAAGCCATAAGTTGGCTTAACAAGGTTGTTTTTAGGTAAAAAAACAAACCTTGTGTTTCTAATCACAACAGTAGTTCAATTCTAGGATTCCAAGTAACTAGGGTTAAACTTAAAAAAATAAAGGCTCGCAAGCAGGTCATTTCTTAATTGTTTTTTTCTTTTTCAAAATTTGTTTTTTTATAATCAAGCAGGTCATTTCTTAATTGTTTTTTTTTTTTTCAAAATTTTTGCTTTTTTTATATTAATGGCTTTTTTAATGTGTTTTTTAAAACAATTTTTAAATTTAAGTTTTAATTAATATTCCTTCTCTGCAATGTTTTAGGTTTTTTAGCCTTTCTTGATTTGCAATTATTTTTTAATTATATTGAGCATGTTTAATTTTTCATAGGTTAGTATGATTCATCTATAAATTATTTTTGTGTATATTATATAGATTAAATATTTATTTTTTATAATATTTTTAATATGTACAACCTCGCTTAATATTTTTCTCCTTTTATTTTATTAAAAACATTTTATGTGTGTCAATTTCTATTACAAATTAATTTTCTTAAATAAATTTATTAAAAGAAATTAGATAAATGATCCATATTATGATATTAAATATGTTAATCTACATTGGTCTCTTTATTTTTTTTAATTATGCTTTTATTTATCATTAATTACTTTTTTTCATTAATTTACACAATGGTTTGTGATTTATTTAATTTGATGCGTGTATAAGTATTTTGATTTATATTTATGACTTTTTATGTAAAAACAAATATTGAAAAATTCTATATGTTCAAATTTTTTTTATCATGTATTAATATTTTTAATTTAATCTTTATTCTTATGATTTTTTTCTTTAACTCTTTTATAAAAGTTTAACTATTTTTAATTTCAGTTTTCAATTCAAGTTGATAATATTTTATTTATTTATTTATTTATTTTATTCCTCATTGATTGGTTATATATATATATATATATATATCTTTTCTTGTTTATTATGGTCACCTTTTTTATATATATAACTTAAATAAAATAAATTTATTTAGTTGGTTTATAACATGTTATGAGTTGTTAGATTTAAAAAAAAAACACGCTGGCAGTCTCTAAAAATTTTATTGAAAAATATTACGGACAAAAACTTACAGTGAGCACCAATCCAGTAAAAACCTGAACTCTGACTGGATGAAATAAAAACACTCGATCTCTAAATCAAAATGCACCTGCTGCAATTTTTTTGGGGAGTTATTTATTGAATAGGTAAAGTTAGCTTGATGGAAAGGCTATACAACATACATCATCATCAGTTTTCATGGGGGAAAGAAAAACTTTACTCATAAGTTACTGAAATGACATGCTAATAATGTCATGAAAACTCTGAGGCGAGTAAATGATGATATTTTAAAAAATTCATTTGTTTTATAAATAAGGTTTATATTTTAGATTATTGATTAATCTATTAGTTCTACAAATTTAGTATATTTTTATGGATTATGATATCTGATAGCTAATATCTACAAAAGATTTTATTTGATTTTATTTGATGGATTTGAAGACTCTTCAATATTTAAAAAAATATATTTTTAAGAGAAAAAGTAATAAGATTTTATAAAGACTCTAAAAAAAAATATGAAGTAAAAAATAAAGATTATAAACTTGTTAATTAAAGGTTTAAAAAAAAATTATAATTCATGAGTTTTTTTATTTTATGAAAAGAAGGAGGCAAAGTGTTATAATGCCCTTGTAACATTAACTAAGAAAAATATAGACGACATAAACTTTAAAAAATAATAAATATCTTTTATATATAATTAATTAGGAATAAGTTGCAAAGCTCTTTAAAAACTTTTATAAAATATAAAGAGATAAACATTCTTAGCATTAACATGAAAAAATAAGGGGTCCTGTGGTTGAATATAAAACCCAAAAAACCATTATTTTTACATTTATTTAGGTTCAATAAAATGCTGAGTTTTAGGATATTGGGTGTGATAACTAAAATCACATGTGATGAGCTCACACCTGTTGGGTGTTCACCTTTCTTTTGATTATTTTCAACATGGATTTTACGAAAACAACACGTTGATTCATCAGCAACCAAGAACGTGTAATTAAGGGTTCTTCAATGCCATCCTCAACAAGTTTTATCATCACACCAAATTTGATTTTTGTGGCTGGAAACTCGTGTATTCTGAAGTGCCTGGTGGCTACCTGCCATCAGAGTCTTGGCCAAGAGGTAAACATATGTCAAGACGTGCACGCAGAGCTAACAGCCAGCCCAAATAACCAGAAATTTGATCTCTCGAAATAAGCATTGACTTATGGGCAAGTGCCATGGCAATTATACAAATGTTCTGTTGTTCGGTTTATGGAAACCCAGCACTCAAAACCAAAAGGCCCAGAATGAGGTTTTGAAGAGCGGACTTGGGCCCATGCAAAATTACAACATGAACTTGTTCTAAAAAATCAAAAAGCTCAAAAAGGAAAATAAAAAAATCGACATGGATTAGTCGTGGATCATGCTTATCAAATAGGAGACCTCACTGGTAAGGCCCACAGTAATTTGAGAACGGTTCCGGGTCTACCTTAAAGTTGATTTTTCTTTATGAAATTGACGGAGCTCAAAAAAAAAAAAGCAGAATTTTCCCCTCGCCACAACAATGAGGAGTGCATCACTCGACACAGAGAAGTAAAAGCTGAACAGCTGAACCACTTGACAGCCTCAGCAAATGTTCGTAGTTTTTTGTAGCATGTCCACCATTTGGAAGGATGCTTCTGCATGCCACTCTAGATTGGTCAGAGCACATTTATTTCATGACAGTGGACAGCCTCCTTCGGTCCCATTTCAATTTTAGAGGAAGCCAAACAAGGCACAGCAGTTAACGGGCAATTCCGCCACAAACCTCCCTGAATTGTTCTCATTATAACCCCTTTACCTATAATGGCAGGCATTTTTTGAATCCAAGATGGCATGTGAATCACGCAAAATTGTTTCACCGATAGAGAAAACAAAGCCATGGATTGCAGAACTTCCGAGACCACCTCAATGAGCCACTTCTCGGGTGGACTTGAAGGCCATTCTTGTCATGCAAGAGCCAAGCGGGCCAACATTGTTCATGTAGCCCGTTTTCAACACAAACATTATCCAATGAAACTACTGAAGAGAGCATATCTAGGATTAACCACTAATCAAAAGAATAAGTAGGGGGTCTCAAAAGCAGTGGACCGCCAGCTGCAATGGGGACGCACAGAAGAAGGTACAACAAAACAGGGATCTCCACAATTGGCGATGGCTTTAAGCTGTGCATTATTCATGAGCTTTATGAACCGACGTGTTCCAACCTTTCCAAAAGAGAAAAAGGGAAATGGCTCATAGACTAATAGCACCTTCAAATCTGCAATTTGCCCCCACAGGACCAATCCAGCGTAAAAAGTTGGTCAATAAAGAATAGATTCATCCTCATGGCTCTTGACTCTCAACAGTCTAAAAACTATTCATCTCTATAAACTATTCATCAACAGATGCACAAATCGCAATCACACCGAGAAGCATCGCATTCTCGAGCATGAATAACAGTAAATAAAGGAGCGAACTTTGAATCAAACCAGCACGTATATTCATATATGTTGTGTATAAACACTTTAGAAAAAGAGTGAGAGATTACAGCTTGAAGCAAGATATTCCTTCCTTCAACAAGATCCAATCCCTCTCTACTACTTAAGGCCTATCACCATCATACCGATTTGAAACCGCAAAACAAATTAAACCAGAAGCACCCAAACAAACATTCATTAAAATCTTAGAAAAACAGCAATGGAAACCAAAATGAACGACCACGATAAGACCACCTAGAAGACAACAGAACTAAAAAACAATGGTAAAAAAAAAGAGGTAGAAATAAATTAGTAAAAGACAACATGATAGAAATCACATCTTCTTTTACTATTTCCAATCCTCACACTAAAATCAACGTCCACTATTAGGACAGTCCCTAGCAAAATGACCAGACCCACCACAATTATAACACCCTCCACCTCCTCCACCACCG